ACGTCCCAGCACTGGATGTTGTACCAAAGATACGCCCTCGTAGCACGTGCTAAACCTAAAGAAATCAAAAATTGACTTGGGTCTGTGGGAGTCTGTGAGAGAACGCCCACTCGTTCCGTTGTGACAGATTCCAGGGCCACGTTGAGGGGCCCTACCCCACCACCCATGGCTGCTTCTAGACTTGTTTTAGGTTTGGGTCCCGCGCACGGACAGAATGGGCACGAAAATGTGAAAAAAATTGTAAATGCATTTGTTTGGCTCCTGGGTGGCTCGCACACCGTGGCACTATGCCGGAAATTTGAGTTTTTCCGGCATGGAAAGCCTGTCAGTGAGGCGCAAGAACTTGTAAATCATGTCCTGAGGGCCAGCATGGTGGCAGGAGTGTGTGGTCAAAATTTCACTCAAATCCATTGAGAAATACCAAAGTTACGGTCAATTGAATGCCATCCATTACGGGTTGAGCTTGTCGAAAACCAATTGTACTTCATCATGTGTGAAGGGGTTTTATGAAGAAATATTTTATGAACCAGTGTACAGAGATGGTACACTGGTACACTGTACCATCTCTGTACACTGGTTCATAAAATATTTCTTCATAAAACCCCTTCACACATGATGAAGTACAATTGGTTTTCGACAAGCTCAACCCAACAGTGTACAGAGATGGTACACTGGTACACTGTACCATCTCTGTACACTGGTTCATAAAATATTTCTTCATAAAACCCCTTCACACATGATGAAGTACAATTGGTTTTCGACAAGCTCAACCCGTAACGCGCTCATCCTGCCTCTTGTTAAGTCAGCCCAGTATCTAAAGTCCCCTTTGTTTTCCGGCTACTCTCATTGGTTATCATTACCATACGGTCTGAAAACTTGTTCTTCTATTGGTCAGTTTAAAGATCTACTATCACAACTGAACTAGACGCAATAATTATCATCGAAGAACATTCTCGAATACCTGGGTGATGCACGAATTTTGATAGTGCTCACTTCCGTTAATCGTTTTTCTTTGTAATTTTCCATTCATTTTCTGCTCTAATTCATATTTGCTTTGTTTTCCTAGCTTACTATTGCCGTGGCTGGCTCAACGCCCTTGTCTCCGGGGATTCTGTCCCTGCATTAGCTATGCTTGTCACATGCTATGAGATTGTGTCTAATAATAATAATAATCTGAAATTTATGGGTAGGCTGCCCCCTTAACCCGGGTTCTACTCTACATGCAAGTAGCGGAGGTGCTCAGTTTATTTAGATGTAGATATGTGAAGGAATGCGCCAGAGAACTTGCCAAGCCACTGTGCCAGCTCTTTGCTTCCAGCACGGAGTCCAGCCACAAATGTGGAAGACTGCCAGCGTGGTTCCAATCCACAAGCGATCTTCACGATCCGCCCTAAGGAATAATCGTCCAGTTTCACTGCTGAGCATAATCTCTAAGATCATGGAGAGCGTTATCAATCGTCAGCTCATGAATCACCTTGAGCGTTACAAACTCCTGACACCCCACCAGTTCGGGTTTCGTCGCCGCCTCGGGATCTCAGATGCGCTACAGGCTCTACACCACGCCTGGATCACAGCCGTCGGCCGATGCGGTGCAGCACGTATTCTAGCCGTGGATATTGCCGGAGCATTCGACCGTGTGTCCCATGCTGGCCTCCTCCACAAAGTCCGCCATCTTGGCATTGGCGGCCCCCTGCATACCTGGCTCTCTTCCTACCTAGGTGGACGGTCCATTCAATGCTTGGTGGGCGGCCAAACCTCGTCGCTGTATACCATATCAGCAGGAGTTCCCCAAGGGAGCATACTCGGCCCTACACTCTTCTTGATTTACGTGAACGACGCCTCAGAGACCCTGTCACCCGGAGCCCACCTGGAGGCGTACGCCGACGATACTACCTTGTATAGCCTGATATCCCTCAACACATCCCCAGCCGACGCAGCATTGAGCCTCCAGACTTCTGTTGATCGCTTGCATCAGTGGGGCCGCAGATGGCGCATCTCCTTTTTTTTTTTTTTTTTTTTTTTTTTTTATTGAAAAACCACAAACCTTCAGACATGTGAATGTTCACATGATATACAGTGTACATACGTATGTATCGAGAAGGCAGCACGGAAACGGCAGTGGTGGTGAGGCCTGGGCAGCTCGTCCGACCGTGGGTCTCGGAGTCAACACTGGGCAGACGCACCGGGGGGGGGGGGGGGGGGGGGGGGGTAGCTTAGGAGATAAGGGATGAAGCCAGCATGATCATAGTATGTAAGGCATATGCAGAAGTAATAATGATGTTAATCTTAAAAACAATAGTGCGGTGGACCTGCGCAGAGGAAAGGCATCATGGACATGATCTACGTGTATAACATAATAATAATATAATAATTAAAAGTGAGCTAGGGCACATCATACACACACATATGCGCATGTTCAAATAGGAGATCAACCTGATAGGGCGTTCACCGGCCTTGGGTAATCTTGAAATAAAGATATTAATTTTATTGAAGAGATTATTATCATACGCTCACATAAACACCACATACCAACCATGTGCACCCACCCCCACACACACACGCGCGCGCGCACACACACACACGTGCTCGCACGCACGCACACACGCACACACACATACACACACCACACACACACACGCACACACATACACACACCACACCACACACACACCACACACACACACACACACGTACACACAGACACACACGTGCACATTCACGCAGACGCGTAATCATACATAATATTTGCTTCCAACCGTCGAAATCCCAAGCCATAACCGCCACTCTCCGCAGAACCCCCATCAATTTGCCTCGCATTGTCTTCGGCGGCACTCCTGTCCTTGAGGAGAAGGCTCTCTCTCTTTACTTGGAGTGACCTTTGACTCGAAGCTGTCATTCAGCACTCATCTCCGGAAGGTTGCCACTCGAGCCAAACAACGCCTGGGCTTCCTGCGCCGTGCAGCGCACATTCTCTCTCCAGCCGGCCGCACCACAGTATACAAGGCATTTGTTCGACCAGTTATGGAGTATGCCCCCCTCATCTGGATAGGTGCTCCGCCCAGCTACCTGCAACGCCTGGATCATATCCAACGCTGTGCTCTGCAAAATCATCGGTCCAGGTGCACTATTACCTAGCCTGGCCTGCGTCTACGTCCACGTAAGGGGTTTTTGGTCGGTTGTCATGATGATCCGTATACGGGGTGAAAACGGGAGCAGAGGAAACTGCGACCATGAGCACGCGTCCATGCGTCAGCAAAACACAGAAACGTGGCAGTCGTGCTCACACTAGGCCTCGTACACGCGCAGACATGAAGTTGTCACACAAACTTTACGAATTGCGGTTCGTATCCAAAAGAGTTCGTGCGTTTCCTAATAAAGTTGTGGCCCGTTTTGGATGTAATTTTTCGCATGTTGCATGTTGGAGGAAGTGCCTCGTGGCTCGTATTCTTAAGTCGACGAAAATAATTCATACAATGATGTAGGTTTGGACTCTTGAGGGGCTGCCGCTGACATCCAATGGCCAAGCGCTTTCGCTTTCCTGACCTCGTGGTCAGAGCAAGTGCCAGTGCAGCGGAAATGCTGGTAGTGGTTTCTTTCGTCTGTTGCCGAGATGAGAACTGTATTTTCCGATGATATGTAACTGAAATGTCTTGAGGTATGGCATTCCATCATCGCAGAAAAGTAGAGAAAGATGATTTCCCAAACCGAAAAGCCATACCACGCTGCCATGATGAGTGCCATCGTATTGAACGAGTAAGTCAAGTAAGTAAATTATCATATCCGTTCCCGAAGGGAACTCACGACGGCCGCTAACACCCGATAAACCCTAGCGGCAGATGCAGCGCCTAACGGTGGGGGTGAGTGGGTAAGTCTCACAACCATTGAACGAGTACACTGTAGAAATTGGTCACTGACCTGATCAACTGACAACGAAGCAACTACAAAAACAAAATTGACATCGTTCAAAAGGGGGAAAGAATGCATATAATGGCGGTGCGTGCGTGCGGGCCGCAGCTACAAAATTAAATGTGCAAATGTCGAGGATGACATCGACAACCGCCCTAATGACGTGATATGGAGAGGATACGACTTTTTGTATGAACGTGCGTATCTCCCCCATTGGCCCAGCCTTTTTCAGAGCGACCCTGCACTTCGATTTACTTCTTCTGTACATTATTCTAATGTATCTTCTACCTCTTCTCCCTTACGAACATACTTTCTCATTTTCCATACTTACTTAGGAGACTCCCTTCGATAGGCATCTATTTGCCTCTGGAGGATCCGTGAAATAAAAATCAATCAATCAATCAAAGTACGTGCGTTCAAATTTCTCCAAAAAAATTGACTGCGTGTAGAATCTACGCGTCAAGAACTGTGCCTGTCTGATGACACGACCACCCGTTTTGGTTTTTTCACCATTATAGACGTAGACGTAAACGGGAGTCGGAGAACGCACACACAAACAGGCACCGAGATCCCCCCATCAACAGTGCCCTCACCCACTACAACTCACTCCCTATCGACATCACAACCCAACCTCGTAGAAATTCTTTCCGAAACAATGCATCCAGTCTTCTTTTGAGCAATACGTGTTCCTGCTCCGCGCCTCCCCCTGGGTTCTGATATCTCAAACGTGTACTTAACTATCTCGATCACCCCTGCTAACGTTATTGCCCCCGCTTGTTTTTCATGATCCATTGCTTCTTGCCTCCCCCCCCCCCCCGGTTAATTTCCATCTAGCTGTTTCTGGCTAGTACCAGTTCTATCACACTTATCAACCGTCCTTATTGGCGTCACGCCACCGTGGAATAAAAGAATAATTGATACGCGGCATTTACAGATCTAAAGAGCTGATTGCATGTTGTGGCCGAACAGTGGAGACACGATGGCCAGGATGGCGACAGCAGCAGAAGCAGCCACAAACAAAGACATGCAGAACTTCTTTGAGGAAATTTGCATTGAGAGTAGCAGCAAAGATGTGCACATGATTGCGCACAAGTCTCTATTTCAATCAAGTATATGTATGTGCTACAAAATAATAGGCATGGAAATGCATGGGTCACTAGCAATTTGGGCGAAAAATTCGCCGAGAATGCAAGCAAATGAGAAAATACAATGGATGGGCCACTAGTCGTTTGGGCGAGAATGCAACCAAATGAGACAATCCATTGCAGAGTAGCTCTGACCTAAGCCAAGGATGCACTAGACAAGAAACAGTTGGATAGTGGTGAGGATGAGCAGGTGACCCAAACCCAGAGTCACCAACAGACTTTCCGCGCTGCTCTGTCTAGCTAATTGATGCTGTGCGCCAGTGGTGTCCATTTCGTCAGTGGTGCTGTGAAGCAGAGAGTCAACTGCAATGAAGATGAAGCACAGAAACGAAAACACAACGATGCCATTAGTGCCATGTTTGAATCCTTACTATTGATAGAGTCGGGTGTAGAGTCAACAATTAATAATTCATGTTAACTCGGATACTGAGCCAGGAAATAGAATACGAACTTAGAATAGAATATTTAAAAAATAGAAGAAATCACATTATTGTTGAGAAGAGGTTTGGAGGCTTCCTGCAGTTTCATAGTAGACACAATTGGGTGAACTCACCCATCCCACGATACTCTGCAAAAATTCCGAACCATTCCATACAACGTTTCGGCCAATGGCCTTCTTCAGTCAGTCGTTCAATGGAATGGTTCGGAAATTATTTGCAGAGTATTGTGGAATGAGTGAGTTCACCTAATTGTGTCCTCATTATTATTATTATTCGTTCAGAAAGTGGTGGACATCACGCAACTGCATTGTAAATAAAAGGAGGTTTGTCAACTGACAACCGCTCTATTTAGTTGCTATTCATAGCAACTAAAAAAAGCTATTGATAGCAACTAAATAGAGCGGTTGTCAGTTGACCACACCCCTTTTATTATTATTAATATTTATTATTATGTAAATAGGCGTCGAGGCGACAATAGTTTTAGATTTGGTTGGCCATGGTGTCATATCTTGTGTCACAGTACACTAGTAGTCCTTACAAGTTCGTAAAGTGCTTTCGCAGTTTTTCCTGTTATTACCTTAGCGCTAGGATTATCATTTTCATAGGTGTTGTTCCTTCTCACTCCATTTCTCTTTATTAGTATCTTTCTGGATTGTTTTTCATTAGTACAACGTAGCTTCCTGAGGAGTGTTGTGCGAAAACTAGTTCGAAGTACGATTTTTTGTTCATCATTTCTTCCATATCACATTTTTTCTTTCTTCCATGTTCTTCACTGCCTTCGTATCCACTCGTTTTTTTGAATACAATAAAAGCCTTTGTGAAATGTCGGTTCAGCTCGTTCTGTTGATCGCAATTCTAAAAATAATAATAATTATTATTTTTTTTATTATTATCGGGGTGCAAGCCTCTTTTACGGGCAAAAATTAACACAATGTATTAAAATGCAATACAACATACACTGGAGAAGAAATCAGGAAAATAAAATATGAGCTCAAAAATGGAACGAAAAATAGCAAATAGAATCAAAACTCACGATGGAATCAAACTCATGATGGAAACTACAACCCAATGAGTTGGAAAACCAACCACATATTATTATTCTCTTTCCCTCAAACCAGTTAATATTATTATTATCTTACTATCTTGTTACAGTCGTGGATAGTTGCTTCATAGCTCGTTTCCATTTGATTTTTTCTATTTTAATTAATACTAAGTAAGGAAGTTTTTCGTCTGATGATAGATTCAGTTCGTGAGAGTTACGAAACAGCAACTGCTTGTTCTTCTGTCTTTGCATTCCGCTCTTTGCCCTCTACTGTTGGTGGGTGGACTTCAGATAGCGAACAAGAGGAGAAAGAAACTACACTTGTGACTTTACGCTCCAATGACTACTTTGACCACTAGTTCTACTTGAAAACCGGGCTGACTGGGTGTTTGCTCATCGGAACAAGTGTCTTGTGCTTTACAAGTAAGAATATGCAAGTGCACCCTGAGAGAAAGATTGCCCTGTCCCTCCTCCCTCCCCCCTTACCCGCCAAGTCAATCTAGCAGACTTCACTACTCGTGCATTTCTGAACAGAGCTGTGTTTTCACATAAGAATTGTAGGCCCAGGTCGAGCTCTAACCCCGTTGAGAGTCAGTACTGCTGAAAAATAGGTTTTGTTTACAACTGCATGGATTCGGTTGACCTAGAGAGAGAGAGAGTTCTGCCAACAACATTTTCTTTCTAAAGTTACATTGCGGAGTAAATTATATTACTGTACATTTGTTCGACCTTTTCCTGCGCAATGCTGTTCAATGGTAGCCCGAAATGGGCGCTTGCATGTACGTGCGGTAATGCATTTCTTGTATGTAAAGCTGGTTGGAGATTTCAAGCTGCTTGAAGATGTCAACCCGGTACAAATGTAAAGCAATATGAACACGGAGCGGTCAATCTGTGTCTATGGCAGGTTTAGACGCCACCCGGACCGAACTCTACCCATATTGAAACCTCTCTTGTGAAAACACCCCCCTCCCCAGCATGTTAAATCAACATGTCTTTCCAGCTTTAAAACTGCACTCCGATCGCATAATGTAGTACGATAGGATCTCCTTGCTGGATTCTTGTCTATCCTTCTTTCTTCTCTTTTTCTTTATTCCTTTCTTTTCTTTTCTTGCCGTGGTTGGCTATCACCCCTCTCTCGCACTTTGCGTGCCAATTGGTCATGGACCACGAGTTGAGTGAAATAAATAAATAAAATAAAACAGATTATCAAGGTAAAAAAGGTAAAATCAGTGTCAGATTCAAGTTTTTCAAAGCAACATTCATGTACATACCCGTAATAGGGGTGAGTTATGCTGCAGCTTATAAACTTAAAGAGAATTGGCGAGCACACATGCTCCTTCCCTATTGCCTTATTTCATCCTGAAGATGGCAATTTGCCGAAGTGTCGAACAAGATTCTGTGCAATGAAGTGAGATATGAATTTGCAGTGCCCAGGGAATGAGCACGGTGTGCTTACCAATTTTCTGAACATGCATGACATTGCACTTACCTGATTGGCATGGCTCCTTTCTCCAACTCCATCCTTCATCTTTACAGGTAGCTTTGGCAACAGCAGTGTATCCTGTGTCACAGGTGGGTCTAACCTTAACTTTGAGATTCGCCTCTCCAATGGCACCGTTGGAAATGGATGTAGCCGGGCACAGCACACCTGAGCAGTTACCCAGAACCACACAGAAACAAATCATCCTCCCAAACTCTCTGAGCAACTGTACGTGGCCTTCACTAATCTGGTCATCTACGGAGCATGCATGTTATTGTCTGTAGGCACAAGCTGACAAACTATGGGATGACCAGTATTATTTTGACACACTCCAGCACTCCGCACTGCACCCTTGGCCCGCATTCACAACTCCACAGCGAGGACATTCCACCATTATCATAGCATGAAATTGTCCACTGGTCCCGGAGTTCCGAAACACAGCAGACCAGAGCGTTTCAATTAGTGTTGAAACGATCTCACCGGATACTCGTTAGCTCGCTCGCCAGAAACTCGGCTCGTTTGTGCGGCCAGCTCGTTTGCACTAACGAGCACCGTACACCGTACTCCGTACACATGTATGTACATGGCTGTACATGTCGACCGGGGAGTCGTAAACTATTTTACGACTCCCTGGTCGATCGAGAGTCCAGTCCCGCGCAAAGTGAAAATCACTAGCAGTTACAGGTGACTTTATGCCTGCACGACACTTGAGTTGTTTCAGTTGTCGTTGCAGCTTTGGTGGACTCTACTGATGTCTTGTTCCGCATCTGCTGACCTGTCGCAGGATATGCTTCGGTCACCTCTCCATTCGAGTGAAAGTTACGCTCAGTCGTTTGGAAGTTTTCTCCCGCGATGCAGCGAAGACCAGGGCTACTTGCAATCTTTGCAAAACGGTCTATTCTTACAAAGGCTAATCGACGACGGCGCTGAAAAGACATCTCGACACCAAACAGCAATCCGAACGTGAAGCTGCAGCAACCCCAAATGCCGGCGGTGATAATTGAACCAGCTGAAAAAAATCGAACTAATACTTAGAAAAAAAATTATTCAAAAAAATAATCATATTTGCCACATCAATGAAACTCGTTAGCTCGCTCGATAGCTTGCTCGTTAGTGGAACTGATCGCTCGTTTGTTATAGATACGCTCGTTTCAACACTAGTTTCAATCTGCATCCAGAGCGCAACGAAACGGGTAGATCCGCGTTCCTTAACTTCAATCTACTGTCTTTCATTTTTCCAAATTCCGTTCTACTCTACCTGGCAAGGTACAATACCCTTTTCATAAAAAATCACGGCTCGCGTCAGACTCGGCTAGAGGCCGAGTTTTCCACATCCGTACGAACGCCACCACCCTTCAAGGATCAAGGCGCAGATGCAGCTCCTAAAGCGCTGAGAGGTGAGTTTTCCACACAAAGTCTTATGATAGCTCTTTAGTTTTACCTCGAATGGTTCTTGACATTCTGTATCACACTTTGTGAATTCGGCAACAAGAGAGCTTGAAAGCTCAGAGCCCTATGCTATGCTTTTTTGCCTAGCTCATCATGGATGTTATGAGAACTGATGGAAATGTTTTTTTTCCATTGGTTGGCTATAGTGTTTTACGTCGACCATGACGGCTACAATGCCCAACCATACCACGAAGAACTGATCGGCTACATCATTGTATTGCGAAAAGTTTCCATCTGTTCGAATAAAATGCATGATGAGCTAGGCAAAAAAAAGCATTGTGTGGAGTCTACCACCTTGATGACCTAGGCAAAAACAGCATAGGGATGTTTTCAATTCTCCAATTTTTTAGGCATAACCTGGGATTCGAACCCGCGCTAGCGCCCTACATGCATTCCCCAATACACTTCGCATTCATATATTCATTCTTCCAAGTTGCTTCACGTTATGATCTTGCATTTGAAAGCCCCATTTGAATATTGTGGCCAGCTGGCTTTGATGGTACGGTACGGTACGGGACAGGTACGGTACGGGACAGGTACGGGGATAAAGATGATACTGACTACGTACACCTAGCTGTCCTACTCGTGTATCTTTTTTTGTAACTCAACAAGCCTCTAGCTCTTGTACCGCTCGTCCTTACTAGTCTTAAGTGAACAAAGGCAAGAAGGTACAAGAGAAGAGCTAGAGAGAAAAGAGAATTCAAGGAGGAGTCCAGGTGGAAAAGGAAAAGAAAAGACAAGACCATTGAGAGGACCGGTCATGCAATACGGTTAATTTCCATCGTGGATAGGATAACCTAACTCACTAGTACTTGAAAAAAAAACACAAGACGAGACAAGCATCTTACGGTCACATCTGTAGGAGCCTTTCAGGTTTGTGCATGCGAAGCCAGCAGGACACGGCGTTCCGTGCGTGCATTCATCCCAATCTAGGCCGCCAACAACGAAAAGAAGCAAAAATGACTGAGTGAAGGAGGAGAATGCACACACCACTTGGGTCCCTGAACCCACCATGCATGTAGTTGAAGTGAATGCACAATATGGACAACGCCGGCTACAGTCATGATCGTAGGTCACACGTACTCTGTCACACCACTCAGACAAAAGACAAAAAAGACTCGGGAAAATGACCAGTGAATGGAATTGCTCGGTTGTTGAAACTCGCGGCTTGTAAGTCTAACCCACCTTCCGAAATCGGAAATGACTCTAAAATCTAAAACAGTCGAAATGGCATGATCATGACTACATACCGGTACTTCGAAGCAATAGTGTCCTTTGCAAGTTTCTAATAGCTCTTGGTGTCACAGCAAAGGCAATGCGACTCCAGAGTATAGTACCTACTGTAGTATCAGCAAGAGTTTATAACCCCCCCCCCCTCCCTTTGAGGTGCCACTGAACGCGTGAAAATGCGCAATTGCAGTTCACTCCACCATTTCCACCATAACTTACGTTCTGTTTGCTTGATTTTGACAGTCTAGGGCTCTTTCCGCTGCCAAGAGAATGAGGCCACGCTCAACTCCGTGGGTGCCACAAAGCCTGCTCCAGAGCGCAGGGAATCGCCATAGGTCGGGCCTCGTGTTGAAAGAAATACTTCTAAATTTCATCCCAATGCCATTTCGCTGTCGTTTCTTGCACAGCTCTGGATTTTTTGCATCTCAATCAGTAGTTTCGACGTCATTACAACCACACGTCATCAGCTGGCTGCACACCACGTGATCCACGGGAAATCCCCGAAGCACGAGGCAAAAAAATGATTTTGAGATGTTTGAAAAATTTAGTGCCGTGATCCAACTTTCGAGCGCCATATCTTTATCATCGTTTCTCCTATCGCAAAAGCGATTACACCATTGGAAAGCTTGGAGCTCCCTCTTTGATCTACATATTTCGATATTTGCAACAGGACTAAAATCGATGGAGTTACGACAGTTTTACGGTACGTACACAATATCAGTCGTTAATGATATAAAAATTTAACCTCATACACGTAAATCGTACCTGATGCACAGATGATGGCGTCCGCAGCAGACTTGGTTTTGGAGTAGATGTGTTCAGAGACATCGGTTGCAAGGTTGTACCGTCCAGCGACCCTTCCAGGACTCTTCGTCCAAACAGTGTTCACACCCGAAGCGTTAAGTTTTGCGAGGACGTCCTGGATGAAAGCAAAGCGAAAAGGAAAGGGTGAAACCCATTACGAATCATTGGTTTGAGGGAAAAATGGAAACGAGAAAAGTCTGAAGAAAACTTGACTGTCATCACAAGGACTCGAACCACTCACCTTCGCTTGAGGCCACCCAAGCTCTAACCACTGAGCAATGGCGTAGCTGTAATCCCATCAGAGACCGTTCAACCTAATCTTCAGACTTAGAGTGAAGCTCATAGTTTACATTTGGGTCTAGATACATGTAGTTGATATACGATCTCCTCCTTACCTACACCGACGCAAGGTCTGGTACAATCAATTTTGTCTCCACTCCTAAATTTTCATCTACGTAATCATCAGCAGACTGACCACAACACACACGGTGTCACACCACCACTGTCTCTCTGTCTCTCCCACTCTTTGTTTCTCTGTCTCTGTTTCTCTGTCTCTGTTTCTCTGTCTCTGTCTCTCTGTCTGTCTCTGTCTCTCTGTCTCTGTTTCTCTGTCTCTGTTTCTCTGTCTCTGTCTCTCTGTCTGTCTCTGTCTCTCTGTCTGTCTCTGTCTCTCTGTCTCTCTCTGTCTCTCTCTGTCTCTCTCTGTCTCTCTCTCTCTGTCTCTCTCTGTGTCTCTCTCTGTCTCTGTCTCTCTCTGTCTCTCTCTGTCTCTCTCTGTCTCTCTCTGTCTGTCTGTCTGTCTCTCTGTCTGTCTGTCTGTCTGTCTGTCTGTCTGTCTGTCTGTCTGTCTGTCTCTCTCTCTCTCTCTCTCTCTCTCTCTCTCTCTCTCTCTCTCTCTCTCTCTCTCTCTCTCTCTCTCTCTCTCTCTCTCTCTCTCTCTCTCTCTCTCTCTCTCTCTCTCTCTCTCTCTCTCTCTCTCTCTCTCTCTCTCTCTCTCTCTCTCTCCCTCCCTCTCTGTCTGTCTGTCTGTCTGTCTGTCTGTCTCTCTCTCTACACCACTACCACATCACATAGGAACTTACAATGTAACACTTTGTAGTCATCAATCGTTCATGAAATGTCTTCCGCACCAAATTAGAATTCTGTTCACGACAGAATTTGCTGCCAACTGAATACGGAACCGATTCCAAGCTAATAGTCAAGTTGAACCCATGACAGAAAGCGGTAGATTCTGAGCAAAAGAATACAAAAATGAAAAAAATGGTACAATTGAAATTGATCCGACATCGTAGAAGTTCTCGGAACCTACATATTTTCGTACAACACTCGTCAGGAGTCTTCGGTGAAACGGTTTGCTGTTTGTATTAGAACTTTTGTCCTACTTGATTTGCACGTTAGTTGTTAACACACGCATTGGTGTTTGCTCTTGCCTTTCCTATTATACTTCACACTTGTGTTATTTCAATGCTAAAGTTTTAGTTGTCACATCTCTTTCTTTGGCTTTCTCGTGCTTGTCTTTGTTGCGCTCACCTTCCCCTCCTCATGCTATTTCTATAATCTAGAACCTTCCAAGTTGGAAGGCTGTTGGAGTGCGCATCCAAGATGTGCTAGCGCTGTTAGCCAGTTAGTTGTAGAACGTCAGTACCATCAGTCAGTGTCGTGCAATGTTATCGCAGGAGCTGATTGTTTAGTAACTGGTGGTGTTAGTGGACATTATAGCGTAACCTTTTGTTCCTTGGTCCATTTTTCTTTTCTACAGATCAAAAGTTCATATCTTTTCTGAATACTCAATCTGCAGACAGAACTGTTTCATCAACGAAGCACAGAGGAAATGAGGCCAAACCTGATAGCAAAGAAATAAATACATTTGCTAAACCCAGATTTAAACCAGGCCCGAACGCACCTGGTTGACCATAAGTACAGCTGCAGTGGTGGTTTTCAATTTCATTCTCCCGAACGCACCTGAATAATTATATAAAGACTAATGATACACATGTCCTACGAGAGAGCTTGGAAGCTGAAGGCCCTACGCTATGCTTTTAGTCGAGCGAAAGAGACGCAAACTGAACTCTCTGCTCATTCTGCCAATAGCTTCTCTTGTAAAGACGTTGTACATGAGCTGAACTACCTTCGTCCAGTGATTTGCAGTCGATACAATTTGTTATGGACCTGTTCTAAGCGTTTTCATATCCATCAAAATCCATCACGAAGTTTTTGTTAACGGAGGAAGTTTTTGTGGACCCTGGCTAGCTAGCGCCAGACGTTACTGCACTATCGCTCTGCATGCATTCCCCCGATACACTTCGCATACATAATATATGCCAGGCCTCTACAGTCTCTCATTTCTTGGTGCTGACCGCTTTAATGCTATACATAATGCTGCTATACATACTCATTCTCTTGATGGTACGGGACGGTACGGGACAGATACGGGATGGCGCCAGGCGTGACACAAACAAACAAACACGAAATTAAAGCTGTGTGGACCATGGCTAGCGCCAGGCGTTACTGAAGTAACGTCTTCTGCATAGCTACGGGAATTAAACCTGTCCTTAGTTAGTAGGTAACAAGCTATGGGCTGCAACATCATTATCTTTTGAACACGAAAAAAAGATAGTTTAAAAGACTCTCCGGAACAAAATTACAACTCTTACTTAGTTCCAGAGCTGCTGGCCTTTGGACGCAGTATGGCAGACACAGTGTGAAATCGCTTGGTCCATGGTTGAGGGACGCATTACAAGTGTACTCTTCACTTCCGGATAGACATGTAGGATTCTCAAGAGAAGTGTCCACATCTGGCGCGGATGCAGCCAGCTGTTGTCGGTAATCAACTGAAGGAAAGAGAGAGAAAAGGAGAAATGAACCTCCTTTGTAGTGCATACGCTTACGAATCTACGAAACATTCGTCTTGGAAACTGAACCTTTGTTTCATTCACTTGCTGGCTTAACTTCTACATATTCCGTTTATGATCGAAGTAGTGCAATAGAATCGATTCTGGAGACAAATACAGTCATGTATAAAGCAAACCTCTAACTGTTTTCATGTTGCGGATTTCATACTCATTCATAGTCTGATTAAATAATTCCCACCATAAAGATTGATGCGGAGGAGAGTGATGGTGATGATGATGAGGAGGAGTCGGAGGATGGTGCTGGTTTGCACCCGATGGCAATTATATTCCTATGTTATTTCGTTTGACAGATTGGTGACGTTATTCCACTGAAGAGGGTCGCAAGAAATAGTTCTGAGTTTTTACGATGTGGCCTTTTTTGTGTGGACAGCATAGTTTCAATTAAAATTGTTTTCATAGTTATGATGAAGAAAGGAAAAGGACCCAATGTTACGAATTATTATTATTATTATTATAGACAACACCTCATGGCATGAGAAGAAAATCAGCCAGTACGGGAGATGTGGGTGTTAACCAACCATGGTGAATAAAAGAAGAAAAGTAATGGCCAAGACGGAGAAGCATGGGAGGGACAGGTGATGGTGAATCTAGTGAGCAGATTTAAATGCGTCCAGGGTACTGGCATTGCGCGTAGTAGCGGGCAGCGCAAGCCAAGCAGAGTAAGCAACAAAGAGTGGAGAGCGTACAAGGGAGGACGTTTTAGCCAAGGGGAGGGCAACAGAGCATCTTGTGTGAATTCAACTGTTCATAGCTATGCTCAGATTATTTAGAATGTTGTCTTTTTATATAAAATCAAGAGAGGCAAGCAGCAGTCCAGCTTGTCCACATACTAGTACTTGGTGAGCGTGTGTTTGTCCCCTCATTGCTAAGCTACGGCATAATCATGGAAACTAAAGAATGGCTGTAACGTGACAACGGCGAGTTGCTGTGCTAGGTGGTGAGTGTGTGGACGGAGTGAATGACCCAGGGGCCTCTCGCGTTGATACTTGCTATGCTATGTAATCTATCTGTCCATGTGTATTATTTCGAGGAATTTGCAAATGGGAAACGTCTGAAGAGACTGTCCCTACTTGGTCTCGAACCAGGGACCTTCACTTATGGCTAATTGGTATCATAATAATAATATTATGGTTTTACAAATAGGGGATCATGTACTATTGCTATCACTTACTGGGCAGACAGATAAATAAGTAGCCGGCATTAGCGGCAGCAGGTATGAAGGCCGCGGCTTCGAGACTAGACTTGAAAACCTCGCCGTTGCCAGTCGAATCAAATAGCCACACCGGTCTATTTGCGGCCAGCAAACAGCTACGGTTGAAGGGGGAAAGGGTTGTGAGGTAGAGATCGTTCATCAGGGTAGTGTTGGCCTCCTGACAGGCTTGCTTGGCAATGGCCACGTCAGAAGTGATGCCTGTCCAATGCCTAGTACCACTACATGTGATTTGCCCTGAGGTGAAAACGAACAGAACGAAACGGCATTGCCAAGAACGAATGACATGTTTGTAGTGAAGGGGTACGCACTTTGGGTGAATGCATTGCACGCTGATGGCCCGACAAAGAAACAAGAAAGGTTCGAAATCCGTCATCGACATCCAGGAACGATGAGCTCCAATGGGATAAGGCGGTGAGATGGAATGATCTAGAAATACAATTACAGTAAAACCTGGTGTAAGCGACCTCTGTGTTTTAGCGACCACCTGTTCTTAACGACCGTTTTTCCATGCACCAACAGTTCTACACAGACACTGTGGGACCTGGTTCTAAAGACCACCTGGCTTTAACGACCGCTTTTGCTTGCACCGTGGGGTGGTCGCTTAAACCAGGTTTTACTGTAGTCAAAAGTCAACCCCATGTATGGTTGGTCAAGTATGATAAACACATGAAACACGACATGTGGAATGTTATTCGGTTGTTGGAGATACAGAGTGCGTTAAAATCTATAAACAGGAAGTATCGCTGAAGTCGCACCGACCTCTTCTTCAAATAGGAAAGGGCCAAGAAACTAAGAATGGTTTAAAAACCTTGTAGAACGCATCACGCACGTTTGGTGCTTGTGCCATATTTAGAGTTGCTGCGTATTGTGTTATTTCTATACCAGGTTTATTGTTTGTTTGTGATGTTTTGTTAACCTCTTTTCTCTTTCGTAATAGTACATGTACGGTTTACCGGGTGTTAGCGGCCGTTGTGAGTTCCGTTCGGGACCGGACACGATAATTTACTTTCTTTTTTATTTGTCTAACAGTACACGCATGTGTGAATTGTTATCTCCTCCCATCGCTCCTCATTATTAACCCATCATAATCCAGTGTGCCCACTTCACTCTTGATGATGGTTATTTTATGAGGGAAACGTTGAATTTTTCCTGAAATGATTTTGTGAAAAACAGTGAATGAGTGTGAGCCAGTGTTGCTCACAAGCCAAATCTTTTTAAAGAACGGTTTGAAAACCCAAATTCAGAATCCCGTCTGCATGGGATGTGGTTGGAAACACCTCACCACAAAATGTGCACGACACTGAGGATAAAATAGAAATGAACAGGATGAATGCCGCCGTCATCACTACACATTTACGAAGTCATGAAGGTTTTCCAAAATCGATTGTCACGTCACATTCATCAGTGGAACATCGCGACTAAAGTTTAACCATGAAAAACAGTGTTAAGTATACATTCGATACTATAACAGTGTGTGGCGAGAACGAAATAAAGTGTGACAATTAGAAGGCAAAGGGGTGAGACAATAAATGTGACACTAAAGCTGAGCATACAGGGGGTGAGACCATGGACGTAGAGTAAAGTGGGAACTATGAAGTGAGACAAACAAGTGCACACCATGAACTGTAGTTAAGAAAGTAGAACCCCCTACACACCATAACAAAAGTTACTCGATTGGAGTGTGTTCTAGAAGTGTGTCAATGCGTCAAGGTGAGTGTGGCATGCAAATGTATTATGATCCATGTTTGGAAAGATTGGGTATCCATAACACATGTGGACCCGATAACGCCGCTGGGAGCCCAAAGAGGCAGAGGGGTAGGGGTAATTGGAGTGTGTTCTAGAAGTGCGTCAATGCGTCAAGGTGAGTGTGGCATGCAAATTTATTATGATCCATGTTTGGAAATGTCCATATAGAGATGCTTTATAAAACAGAGAGGCTCCTAAGGTTGTTTGTTAGAGATTCTTTATACAATGATCTATATTTGGTGGTTTCCATTTACGGATAAGATTGGAAGTTTCAGTGAATAAATATTTCAGTGAAATATACCAATACATGTATGTTTTGGCAGTGTCAATATTAGTATTGGCACTGCCAAAATGCAGGTACAAGGACAAGGAACCTGCAAAGAAGAAACATTAGAATGGTATATTCGTCTTACGATGGAAAACCGATGCATCCATGTTAAAAGTAGAATTAAGGAGTCCTCTAACATTTTCATGAATGAAGAAATTATGATATGAAGTAGTGAAGGTAATGGAATTACCCTGTGACTTCGGTGAGGAATTCTCTGTTGGCAGTGTCAATAATAATGTTGACACTGCCAAAACATATTGGTATATTTCACTGAAACTTCCAGTCTTATCCGTAAATGGAAACCACCAAATATACATGTTGATCATTGTGTAAAACATCTCTATATGGACATTTCCAAACATGGATCATAATACATTTGCATGCCACACTCACCTTGACGCATTGACGCACTTCTAGAACACACTCCAATTACCCCTACCCCTCTGCCTCTTTGGGCTCCCAGCGGCGTTATCGGGTCCACATGTGTTATAGATGCCACTGGTCAAGTGAGTTGGCCCTGCTATTTAATGTATTTTTCGTTACTCATTTCCCTCACTCTGATGATTCTTGAAACAAGATGAAACCGGTCAGTCAACCTATCGAGTAACTTTTGTTATGGTGTGTAGGGGGTTCTACTTTCTTAACTAGACAATCGTAGCTTGAATACTAAATAATTGTTATGCATGGTTAACCTTTTAATAGTCACGATATTTTTAAACTGATGAATGTGACGTGAAAATCCATTTTGGAAAACCCCTTCATGAGTTCGTTGATGTGTAGTGATGACGTCGGAAATCATCCTATTTACTGCTATTTTTTAACTGATTGTCTCCACGCTCATCACAACCACGCGCTCTTCAGCCGAACCATACAGACACCAGCAAGGACACTTCCGTTGAGAGATAATATTGCAATATTATCTCTCAACGGAAGTGTCCTTGCTGGTGTCTGTATGGTTCGGCTGAAGAGCGCGTGGTTGTGATGAGTTGGGAATGCAATGAATTGAAAATATGGCCGAAAGCTCTGTCGCAATATTTTAGTTCTGTCTCCACGCTGACTATTTTATACTGAGGACAGATTATGTTCTGTCCAGCGATGGATGAATAAATGATTTTTTTACGACTCGTATTTGTTTCAAACATAAAAGTAAAAACTGATATCCTCTGGTATTCTTACCCAGTTGGTGACATGTTGGCAGATTTGTCCAGACCAGTCGAACAGCCTGTTGGCTAGCTATGGCTGGCAGGTTGTTCAGACCTCCAGCGCATGTGGTATTCGCGGTGCACTGGGCATAATAGCCGGCTGCACAAGCGAACGTGGATGTATTTGGATCGATTATCACGTTGCTGGCGTCATAGCCGCCTGGGAAGCTTGGAGTGCCCACTGGAAAAGGGAATTGGCAATTGGCAGAACAAACACACGATTTTATCAAGACACAACCTTCAATGCGCACTACTCCAGTCTCACATTGTTCAATGCAGAAAAAAAACACACACTTGTACACACACACACACACACACACACACACACACACACACACACACTTGTACACACACACACTTGTACACACACACACACACACACTTGTACACACACACACACACACACACTTGTACACACACAGTACACCCACACACACTTGTACACACACAGTACACCCACACACACTTGTACGCGCGCACACACACACACACACACACACACACACACACACACACACACACACACACACACACACACACACACACACACACACACACACACACACACACACACGCAGTACATGCATTGGATCCAAGCAGAATGTCTGAGCCCTATTTTTGTGCACAGATGGTCAAACCAAATTTCATGATGGAGCTATCTCAACCACTTTTATCCACTACTTATGGGTTCGTTGTGAACTGTTGGAATCTTGTGTCGTGCCTATGAGCTCAGTACGTGGGGCAATTTGTTATTAGGTATTGTATTTCGGCATATGTGCTTGTCTGGGTGCTGACTAGTTTAGAGGCATTAAAGGACTTTGAGCATATTACACTACGCGGCAATACTTTCACTGAGGCGTTCCTTCATACATGTGTTGCACTGATCCGGTGGACCATTGCACTGCACATACTGCACACTACTTGCCACCTGCGCTTTCGCCAAGCTTAGTCATAATATTGTTATGTTGGGTGTATGGTGTCCTTATAAAATTAGTAGGGGGTTTGTCAAATGACCACCGCTCCATTCAGGTGCTATTCACTCCGTGCATGCGCTGGATGGTGTCCTTGTAATGTTGGATGTTGTGCGTTCGGTGGCACATTATCGGTTACTCGCGATAATAACAATAGTTACAATACCCTATAACAACTAGAATGATCAACTCTTGGAGTCATCTTGTGAAGTGACTCAACTGTGTTTTTTCTTTTCGTTATGTTTGTCTTTTGTTCTTTTTCATTTTTCCCTTGTCCTTTTTTCCTTTCTCTTTTTGAGTATTTGAAGTCTGTGTTTTTCTCTCTTTCGTGGAGGCTTGCTTGTTGTATCCTTGGCTTTTGGCTGTTACTTTATGGTCATCATAACACTGGGCACCATTGCCCGTTTGGTCCGCGATACAAAATAACATTTCAACAACTCAAGTCGGAGTTTGATTTTGGCTAGCGGCAGTGCGCATTCAGCTGGTGGAGTTTTTCAACACAGTTATATAGTGGGTGGTAACGCGCATACGCCAACTTGACTTTACTACTGTACCTGCACATTCCGGAAGGTTGGTCAATACTTGATTTTCGCACACTAGCTTGGCTGGCGTCTCTGAGTCCCTGGGGCAATTGCCAGATGAGCAAGTCCAGTGGTATCCTATTTCACACGTGACCAGTCCAGTTCTCCCGTCCACAGTGCTCCTTCCCAAGGCGTTGCCTTGTCCGCACGCTGAATGGCAAAGGGGAATACAGAAAACATTGTACACTTACCGCATCTAAAATATGTAAAAAAAATAGAATGAGATACGGAGCTTGGGTTGGCTGTGACTCAGAGTTTCATGCCTGTGGCGATCATCAGACAGCACTGTCTGATCATCGCCACAGCCGTGAAACTCTGAGTCAGAGCCAACCCAAGCTCCATATCCCATTCTATTCTTTTTGTATAAATCTCTGCACTACGGTGCATTCAGCACTCTTTCGAGGACCACACCCAACTTTCCGTGTGTAAAAACATGTATGGTGGAAATCGGCTATTAAATCAGTCGTGCGCCAAATGAAACGTTTCCTTCCAAACATCAATATTACATTATTCCTTCGGCGAAACACCATGGAAGGCAGTTTGCTAGCGAATTCGAAAAGTAATTGAGCCGAACTTTGGGTTCCTGAATTGCATTGACATTGGTCAATGGCGGATAACTAAAGGCTGTCGTCACACTGGGCACTCAGAAATACGTCATATACACTTTACAACGCATAGTAGAAATAATTACTGTGGTCCCCGGAGAGAAAAGAGCAGTGCGAAGCAGGTGACCTGATTCCCTAATACATATACATTATTGATTGTGTTCCCCGTCAAAGTTATTGTGGTAGGCATTCTACCAACTAGAGGTTGCGATTTCGGCGATGGTTTTTGCTCAGGAATGGGTTTGCTACCACACTGGAGCTCGCGCTATTCCGCCGACGACTTCACACTTGACTGACTCACGACTGCCATCCATACATGGCATTCTACCAGCCGGAAAAACATTAAAAAATATTCTGCGCGGGCTCACGCTACGTGAAAAGGCTGTTGTCCAAGCGGGATGCACATAGCGTCTGAACCGCTCAAGAGAGATGTTGCTTTCCTGCTTCTCACATCACTTGACTTGCGGAAATTTTGTTTCTATTTCAGTCAAAAATTGAGTGTGTCTTATAGGCGATGAGCACTGCTATTTCATGCAAGTCCGGGGCAAAAGCTAACCTTTGTTTCTTCACGAGGGCCAGTTTTGCCTCGACTAGGTACTTGATCAGTTCAACATTTCCGTAGGATGGTCAGCTGTCACGCCACTTGAATTTCGGCCCTCTTTCATTCGCAATACATTTCGCGTCGATATTGCTGAGGGTGATGGAAACGAATCTGGCCCTTTACAGTCGACTCAAATTATAAGGAATTGGCATAATAATTATTATACTGTATATATAGTGTATAAGCAGAAATGTTCGTCTGGAATTCTATTTCGTCATTTTCGTCCAAGGAGCTTTTGGACTATATTAAATGCCAGACTAAGATACCGTATTTTTCGGAGTATAGTGCGCACCTTTGTATAACGCGCACCCCCAATCTTCGTTGGGGGTGCGCACTTCAATCTGCATTGAAGTACATGCATTTCATATTGGGAGCATAGTGCGCACCTGCGATTTAGGGCCTAAAATAGCACATCTAAAGTGCGCACTATACTCCGGAAATATGGTAATGTCGATTTTCAATACACTCTTATGATCCATGGACGAAATTTACGACCGGACGAACTCCCTTTCTTTGGAGTTGGCCGAAACTATTGACCGACGAAGTCTTCTGCCTGTAGCGCATTTCTTGATAAATTATGACGAACCAGTGTCCATGTCGCTTTTCAAACCCATACAGAACTGACCCTTTGTAGGAAGCAGGTTTCGGTTATAACGAACCATATCGTTTAGGGCCGCATGTGAACTAAGTGCAATGATAATCATACTGGCATGGGTGATATGCCAGTGAGGAAGAGTTGCATGCACTCGCATCATGTGCGTGCATTTCGGATACAAAGAACTTCGGCTATAGAGAACTAATTCTCCTGCACAATGTGTTCACTGTATCAGGAGTCGACTGTTTCA